ATTCTCGAAGAATGGAGTGCAATGTGAGTTTAATATTTCTTAACTTATACTCAACTATTAATTTAGAAAATTGTTGCATTCGGTTCTTTCCGTGTGAACATATCTGATGATTTGCTACACATGCTCGGAACGTTTCTCGATTTGCTTCATAATCACGATTCTCTCAAAATTGATTTCAACTCAATCTTGATGATGAACTTCCCATCAGAAGTAAAAAAGAATAATTTTGTTAAGCTCACCACAAGTTCTATATACTGTTGCCAAAAAATTGGAATCCAGGGTAACGTCTTTGCAGAAGCGGTGGTGAGTATACTTTGAACTTTTGTTGCTGTGGTTTATTGGTTTTATTGACATGATATTCAGATGTGGTACTACGCTGTGATCAAAACGTTCAATGAAAGCATTCTTAATTTCAAGAAGAATTTTACTGTTGATGAGAAAACTGCTGAGTGTCTGCTTTATATGGATGATGTTGAAAATAAAGACTACGTTTCTAATTCTGCGGTTAGTTGTTTTTGTAACTTGGTCCTATTGTAGAAAACCTTTCATAGAAACAATTTCTGGGAACATATGTTGATCAGAAACTTCTTACAAAGTTGGATAACTCTAAAAGAAATTTCAGTAACATTACAAACAAAAGTAAGAGAATTTCCTGGAATAGCAATGTTGATAACGGAGGCAATCACTGTAAGAAGTGCGGTGATGTATGGCCGGTGCCAAACATATCCAACTCGAAGAAGAAAAAGAGGTGAGGTCAAAAACATGATTTTTCATTTTCTCAGTTTCAGTGACGATTCCAAACTGAATTCTGACGATTACTCGGTTTGTTATGTATCTACAACAAAGAATGGGATGCGTTACTGGTGCGAAGCTGTTTTTTGTGGTTTCCGAAACACCGGTTCGCCCGTCCTCAAAACATCTTCAACCGCCAATACGCCATTACGTGTTTACTTCAAGGGTTGCGAACTGTGTAGACAACAGAAAATCATCGGAACAAATCCTCAACATTGTTAAGAATTCCTGGTTCCTTTTTTGTTAATAAAAAATTGTGTCTTGTTTTTGTTAGTTCTTCAATTCATTACTGACATTGAGTAGAATGCAAAATGAGGCTAAAACGGAGTTACATTTCGAGACTCTATTTTGAGTTTCTCATAATTGGCAGATAGTAGCGTTAGTATCGCTACTGCTCATTTAGAAAAAAAGCGATATGCTACATACAAAGTGGCGATGTTTTCGCTACTACAGATTTTTTTAAAACATGATAGCGATAACTTCGCTGCAATGATTCCGCTACTATCGATTTTTACGAAATGTTGTAGCATTAATTTTGCTATCAAACAATACATGAAGATGAAAAGATGGTGTAAATTATACCGCGGACAAAAACAGAGCGAAGTTCAATTAAGAAACAAATTTGTACTGTTTTAGTTTCGAATATCCATGACACGTTTGTTTCTAATATTTTAAAATCTTTTTTTTTTCTGAACAATTTGAAATTAACAATTTATTTCATCAACAAGTGCATGGAACAGGTATCATGCTTTTCTGAAAAATTCAAACCTAACATCGAAAAATCAAAGTTGAACAGTGAACATTTTAGTTGTCATTTTCAAACTTAACAAATGGTGGTTTATCGCGAGATGGATCATAAGTTTTGTGACGACGTACATCATTCATGGCCGGTCCTTCTGCCCAATTTGGTTGAGTGTTCTGAGCGGTACAATATCCAAACC